CTGTTTGCTTTCTAAATACAACAAAATTAATGCTTTACCTTCTGTTCAAATAGTTCCACAGATAAATCGAAGTCACATTTCGTACTACTTGAAAAAAAGCTGTTTTTACTTTAGGAATGACAACTTCCCAATATAATTTTCTATTGTCAACATTGCATTACACTTGTTTAGCTCGCGCATGCGCAATAAAAAAGATGGGACATGTTTCCGCTTGAGTAAGACTTCTGGTATTATCTCTTCTGTGCCTGGACTAATATGATAGACCACGTGAACATACCTATTTCCAATAATCCACTAAAATGAGTGCAACATTTATAAAGTATAATCAATTTACTCATATGATTTCAGGGAATAAAGGAAATAATTTTACAGCAAATAATTTTTTAAGGAAATAAAGTTTTTAAGTAATCTCTGGGTTTACCTGGATTATTTATTTTATTTTTTATATTTAAAAGCATACTGGATATACCAATTTATCCTTTTTGTGTGTGTGGAAGTGGGATTTGCAACCGATGTGACCAGCTGTCGTGTTAGTTTTCAATGATTCGTAAATTATGTGATTACTAGTACTCCAAAATATGGAAACGAATCTTAAAAAGTGCCGAGGCGTGCCCACCTAGGTCAGATCCAGGTCGGCATTTTTTTTGCCCACCTCAATTTTGACTGATTTTGAGGGCTGAGGTTATTTTGAGGCAACAAGGGAAAATGTGATTTCTTCACATATCCCAAGGTACCTCAAAATAACCTATACGTATTTTTCACATTGCTGGGTTTCCTTTGTTATTATCGGGAATATATTCAATATTCCCCTATAATCAATTCCCCTCTTATAATTCCCTCTAATATTCACCTCTAATGTTCACCTGTAATGTATTTGCAGCACAAAAAAATGAGAAAAGAAACCCAACCCAGCATCATGAAGGCAATAAGGCATTAGGAACAAGGTTATGCCACCTGGGGTGTGTGTGGGGTGTTGTATCACCCCCAAAGAAAAGTAAAAAAAGGGGCCCAACTTGGGGAGAGAGGGCCCTGGAAAGCTGGAATTGCGGAACGTGTTAAATATTAAGGAATTTTCTGGAAAATTGGTCTAAAAAGGTCTTCAAAACTAAATTTAAGCCTCCATTATATAAACTTTTGGGACCTCGTTCCCCCTTCCCCCGTCGCCAGTATTTTGCAGAAAAATTTTTCGGTTTCTGGAAAATTGGGGGGGGGGGAAGTGGGAGGGGGCCCAAATTTTTTTATTTTACCCCCCCCAACCAAAAACCACTTGGCACGGCCCTGATTAGGAATTTCTGCTATTAGGACTCATTATTTTCCCCACTTACCAACCCCCCTCCCCATAAATAATGAACACTCCCTTATCACAGGCGTGGATCCAGCAAGGTTTTTTTAGGGGGGTGCTGGGCGAGCAGCAGAGTGTTACTTTATAATTCTTTAAGGGGTGGTGGGAGAATATTCAAATGAATTGGCTTCCTAACGACTCGAGCATCGAAGGCGCGAGCTCCCTAGGGGGTCCAAGGGTATGCCCGCAGAAAATTTTGAAAATTAGAACCCTAGAAATGCCATTTTCTGTGATATGGGCATTGAATTGCAAGCTTCAGCTTGACTTCAAATAAGGAAAAACCATGGAAATTGTGCCATATTTCTGAATTTGATTTTCTTGCACCCCCCTTGCACCACTGTTGACAAAGGCCAACAGGGGTGCACACCCATGTGCACCCCCGCCTGCCATATATTAAATCCACCCCTGAATTATCACAATATAAATTTCAGTATAATAAATCTAAGGAAATTTGCCCACAAAATCTATGACTTATTATGACTATGGCCATGGAATTGAGGAATTCCTATTAATTAACTCGGGTTACTGAATGTAGTAAATCGGACTTTATTATTGTATATCTTCTACAATATTCATAGTAAAAATAACAGAATATAAGAGAAAGTAAAGTTGAACCCACAGGTTGTTGCATGTTGATCTCCTACCACGGGTCCTCCTTACGGGAGATGGAAATTAGGGGGAACGTTGTTGTTTACGTGTAATGGGACACGAACATATAGATATATAGATATAGTGATATACACAAAGAAATGGACTAATATAACATAAATAAGAACTTTACATGGTGACAGAAGTGTGGGATCCTTGACTCTGGATATTTAGTTAGTACATTTGAGAAGTTTTAAAAAGTAATTGTACTCAAACGAGCAATAACCAGTGGCGATGGCTGAACGAATAATTGGGCTATCGCCTCCGTCTCCGTTCGCGTTCGAAGGAAATCTTGCTGAATCGTGGAAGCAATGGCAAAAGGCCTTGGACTTTTACCTAACAGCTACGGAATCGGATTCAAAATCTGACAAGGTAAAAACTTCAATTCTCTTGACGTGTATAGGCGAAAAAGGGCGCGAAATTTATGACACTTCTAAGTTTGAAAATGCTGGCAACAAATTGAAACTAAAACCTGTTCTCAAGAAATTTGAAGAGTATTGCAATCCTCGTAGCAACACTACCTTTGAGAGACACAAGTTTTTTACATACCGCCAGGAAGAAGGACAAACTTTTACTAGCTTTGTGACAGAACTGAAGAAACGCAGTGCAGCGTGTGAATTCGATACTTTGAAAGACTCGCTTATTAAAGACATGGTCATTTGTGGTATCTCTGACAATGCCCTTCGTGAGAGAATGCTTCGTGAGCCTAACATCAATCTACAAAAAGCAGTCGAGCTTGGTCAAGCCTCCGAGCAAACCAAACTACATGCTCAGCAACTTACTGAAGACATGGAAAAGAAAATCCACAAAGGCAAAAGCAAGAGAAGGAAAGGCGAGACAAAAACCGAGATAGGTTTAAATCTCATTCTCCAGAAAGAGATAATTTAATAAAGAACTGCAAATTTTGTGCAGGTCGACACCAACGTGGAAAATGCCCGGCGTATGGTCAAAAGTGCAACAAGTGCCAACGTAGAAATCACTTTGCCAGGTGCTGTAAACAAACAGTGCATCAAGTCGATGACTCTCAAGATCGTGCCTCCTTTGAATCCTCTTCAGAAAGTGATTTTGTTATCGAAAGCCTCGTTACAACTGAATCTGAAGCAGCCTCTGAGGTTCAACAAGCACTTAAAATTGATCCTCTCAATAGCGACACCTCTGCGGGACACTGGTCTGTCACTCTTAATGCAGGCAGCCAAGACATTTCCTTCAAAATCGACACAGGGGCCCAAGTGAACGTGTTACCCAAGAAACTCTACAACAAGTTAAACCAGCTCGCCCACGAATCAAACAAACATCAACCAAGTTGTCCGCCTACAATGGGTCCTCCATCCCTGTACATGGAAAATGTATTGTCCCTATTCAGTATAAAGGACAAAAACACCACCTTCTCTTTATCGTCGTAGCTTCACAGACCACACCCATCCTAGGTTTGGCCACTTCAGAGCGACTCAATCTAATCAAGCGGGTCTACAAAATGACTGATACTAACATTGAGGAAGCTTATAGCTCCAATATATCTGAAGAG